AGTGCTAGAGTTAGAGGGTCAAATAAAGATGGAAGAGATGTGTTTTTAGCCGATTCTTGCAGATGGTATATACATACATATACATATATATATATACATATATACATTTGGGCTGGGCAAAAAAATTCCGATTAATCGTTTTTTTAAATGTCGATTCGATATCGATTCTCAAAAGCCGCGAATCGATCTTTTCCAGTATTTATTTCAGCACACATTTAAAACAAGATCTGATTAATGTGAATCTTATCATTAGTCTTCTCCACTAGATGTCACCCTTAAGGCTGATTTATACTTCTGCGTCGAACCTACGCCATAGCTTATGCATAGACGCACACCCATACGCCGTAGCCTGACGTGCACCTCTCCAAAAATCTAACAGCGCGTCAATTCTACGCAGACCGCAAGCGCTGTGATTGGTCTGCAAGAACCCCTCCCTCCGTATGTACTTGAGTTTTGTGTGTGTTTATGTGCACTTTAATATATTTTAATGTTACACCTTCTTATATAAAATAAAACAAAGCAAAGAACAAGTGTCTTATCATTTATTATACTACACAGCATTATACATCAGTAGTTGTCCGCAACTTTTTTTTAAATGACGTCGATTCGATATCGATTCTCAAATGCCGCGAATCGATCTTTTCCGGTATTTATTTCAGCACACATTTAAAATAAGATCTGATTAACGTGAATCTTATCATTAGTCTTCTCCACTAGAGATCACCCTCTTATTTACCTTCCGCGAGGTTACAACAGAAAGCCTGTCATTCATTCAGCGCTTATCATGGCCATACGCGTGATTCGCAATGCTCAGGTGAAATGCTATAGTAATGCTATAAATCTGCGGAAGCATTTGATATCACGCATAAGGCGCCATGATTTCCGCAATGAATGAATGGCGGATGGTGCGGCGCACTTTTTTGTTTATTACACACATACTAAAGCGCGGATGGCTCGCGGTGTTTTCAGCTTCTGCCGTCTCACTATATGATATGAACAGGAATGTCATCTCCAGCTGCTCTGAGAGTCACTTCATTAGCATTTTACCGTTTCATTTGAGAAAACTACCGTCATATCACATACACAGCAGCTGCAAGTTCTTCACGGCAACCCGTCAAAATAAATGTTTAGTTTAACGTTCTACTGTCAGAATATATTACTATTTAGCAGTCTTAAGAAGACTCAATGCTACTACTGCTAATAAATATTAATAAATGTTTATTTTTAAAGGAATAATCACATCTGTTTTCTTTTTAATTTTAACAGAAAACCTCTGTTGTGCAGCACTTTGTTTGCCAACAAAATAAAAGGGTTTAATTTTCATTTGATTAGGATAAATTAAATTAATGTTTTATGCCTTCATCTGATTACCAGAAAAATTAAGAACATTTTATAGGGCCCTATTATTGTTTAAAAAAGGACCCTATACAAAAAAAAGAATAGGTTTAAAATACAGGCATGTGGTTCTTAATTTCTTTTTATCAATTCACCATTTGTAAACTGATGTTTACTGTTCATTTTTTAGAAATATCAATAGCATTTGTATTAAAACTATATTCATTGAATGTAAAAATAATAATAATCGAGAATCGAATCGAAAGCTTGCGAATCGAAATCGAATCGATACCCAGCCCTAACATACATACATACTTTAGTGTTTGTGTTTTTTGGACCAGTCAATCAAATATCCCAGCTATCATGGCCTAGAAAGTGTACTCAAAAAGCTAGCCATGAATAAACCAATTTTCATGAATTGTTAAGGCATAGTTTGGCACCCCACTGACACTTCTGTGTATAGCCAGACTCAACTGAAGCACCAGCATTCAATAATGTTGAGCAAAAGCAATGAAGATGATCTGAGCGTGTAAACTGCCTCTCAGGGATGTGTGTAAATTCGTCAGATTAGACAAACTCACCTGCTTGTGCATTTCGATGTTCAGCCCATAGGACATCTCATAGTACTGCAAAAAAATAAAGCCAGTCAGACATGAACACACTGCACTGCAGCTCTAATACACAGAACTGAACATCTAGGACCTCAGCGTAACATGTGCGGGCATACTGGTGCGCAGTGCGTGCTGAAGTGTTAGCCTCGCTCATCATCCACACGTCTACGAGCAGCGCAACACAACCTCAGCCGCTAAACAAGAGCAGAGAGCACCAGTGATGGAGTCAGAGTTGGATCAGTGTCGGCTCTGCCAAGAAGCAGTAGGTCCCTAAAGCAATTACCACCCACGCAAAGCGGACGCCCACCCTCCCCATCTTCCAGCGGGTGCGGACAGAGCAGGGGAACCCGATATTAGAGGGAGGGAGGGAGGGCGCTCTGGCTGATGCGCGTGAGAGCAACGCCGCACAGATTAAATGAGATTAAGCTGCTCAACGGATCAATTAGAAGCGGAATATCACACGGCAATACGAGGCCCGGGCTGGAGACAATGAGGTTAGAGAGGAGGGGCGGGAGTATCATCGGGGGGATGGAGGAGAAGAGAGAGCACAGTATACAGACAAAAGAAAGAATGGCAGACAAGGTGGAAAAGGAAGGGATGGGGGTGGACGACTAGGGAGGAGAAGAAGTCAAATCATACAATGGAGCCAAAAGCATCATGGCCAAATAAACTGATAGATTTTTGAGGCAAATGGATTTTGAATGCAGCTTCTTAAAAAATTTACTTGCATTCTAGAAAAGTAAGTTACGCAGTTATTGAAAGTAAAATAATTACTGAAACATTTACTGAAGTGAAATATTTATTGAAGTAAATGAATAAACAAAAAAACAAGTAAATAAAATAACAACAATATAATATTTTATAATGTCATATTATATTTACATTATATATAAAATTATATATTATATATAAAAACTAAGTTGTTTGTAAATAAATAAATAAAATAAAAAATAAAATATAAAAGAGCCACCAAATTGTAAAATAATATAATATAATAAGAACTGCCAAATAAGAAGTGCTATGTAAAAAAACAAAAAACAAATAAATATATAACAATTTAATAATAATAATAATAATAATAATCTCAAAGTTTTTAATAAAAAAATTTAAATAAAGCTGAAATATAATACCACATAACAGACACTAAACTGAAAAAAGTGTAATATATATTAAAAGATAAGTTGTTTGTAAATAAATACATAAAAAATACATAAAAATAAATATATAATAAGATCCACTAAGATGTTTGTAAATATAATAAATAAAATAATAAGACTGTAAGAACTGTGACACAGGAACCACTAAACTGAGAAAAAGAAATATAATAACTGCCAAGTTATAAATAAATAAATAAAATAAAGCTAAATTAACATAATATAATTGACCGTTTGCAAAGAGCTTGATTGACAGATGATCTGACCAATCATAACGCCGAATCGCCATCTTGCCCAACAAACAAATTAGATAGGAGTAGATATTAAAAATTGTGTATTGACGTCTTTCTGCGGTTGAAATAAAATACGTTATGATGTTCATTCATGTTTATTTCATGCTTTAAGTAAATATGAAAAGACGATCGGTTCATGTGCCCCTTGAACTGAGGCAATACAGCGATCTGTTATGACACATTACAGAGACACAAAACAGTATTTATTTTTTGAATTTCTTAAAAAAAAGACAAAATTTTAAAGCAGAGACCTTGTTTTATACCAGACGTAACCTGCTCTGTCTTGCCTGTCGGTTAGTGCTGTCAAACAATTAATCGCGATTAATCGCATCCAAAATAATAGCTTTTGTTTACATAATATATGTTTGTGTACTCTGTATATATTAAACATAAACATAAATATACACACTACACACACATTATGTAAACAAAAACTTTTATTCTGGATGCGATTAATCGCGATGAATCGTTTGACAGCACTAAATATAATATAATAGGCGCTTTCGCACCGGAGGAACCTTTTAATAGTTCCTAGAACTACTGCTGGAAGTTCCCGCTTTTTGCCGTCTTGGCACCGCAGGAACTAGGAATGTATTTAGTTCTAGGAACTCCATTTGGGGGAACCAATTTAGCTCCTACTTCAGAGTAGGGTCAAAAACCGTTCTATAGGAACTAGAGATCGACCGATATATCGATTTACCGATATTTTTCCCGATATTTAAGCATTTTACCATAACCGGATATCGGTTTTGTAATATCGGATTCACCGATAAACGCCGCCATCTTGTGGGCGTTTTGAGAATTGCGCGCAGGATCGCCATTGCAGCGTCTGAGGGGAGACGAGACAACAACAACGG